TTCTAAATTCGCGCTACGCCCTTACTATGAGGTCTTTCACATAATAATTTCCTTGTGAAGGTGGGAGAGTCTCCAAGTCAGAATGTGCTGCAATCACCAGGAAAGTACAGATTTGTTCGGAAACGCGGACAAACGTTGAACGGTCGCGAGCAGCGATTGACTTTAAATGTCTACGGTGGACTCCGTCAAATGTTCCCGCACTGGAGTAGGCTGGATTGCTTCGAAGCGGCGGGAACCCTCACGGGTTCATCTTGTTCAACTGTAAAAAAGTTGAGAAAGGATCACGAGACAGGTAGGCGTAATTGTCCCCCCCCCCCTCCGTTCGGGAAGTGGGATTTTCTGCCATCTGCTTACTTGTTGCAGGTGTAAAACCCGTGACTCCGGGCAAGCACAGACCTAAGCCTGACGACACTAAGCGCGAGAAGGTGTATGGTAGTTGGGTTTGGACAGCAATCCGTCACAAAGTCCACATGTTCTACCGACACAAGATTCCGCCGACGGCCAAGCGCATCCTGGCTGCGGTGAAGGCCGACCCTTTGCTCCCCAGCAACTTCACCCTGCGCACCATGCAGCGCATACTGCGCGACATTGGCTTCAGGTACATGAGGCGCAGCCGGAAGAGCATTTTGTTGGAGCGAGAAGAACTTATTGTCTGGCGACGGGATTATCTCATCAAAATGAAACAATTTCGGCGGGAAAAACGCAACATTGTGTATCTTGACGAAAGCTACGTTAACCAGAGGTACACTACGTCGCACGCATGGTACGACACTGGCATCCAATCGTACCGCGACGTGTACCGGGAGGGCCTAACTTCTGGTCCGAACACGCCATCAGGTAACCCCCCCCCCCCCTTCCCTATTTTCCCGTTTCCTCTCTTCTCCTTCGAAAGTTAACTGTCGTGTATATTTACAGGAAAAGGTGGCAGATTTGTTTTATTGCATGCCGGTAGTGCGTCAGGCTTTGTGAGTAATGCAAAGCTTGTTTTTGTCGCCACCAAAGCAAAGCGCGTCGCAGGTGGAACACATCATGATGAAATGTGTGCGAAGCGCTTCACCAAATGGTTTAAAGAGCAACTAATGACAAATATCCCAGCCAACTCTGTTATCGTGATGGACAATGCGTCCTACCATTCTGTTTTGAAGGTTTGATACACGATAGCTCGTACTTATAACTGAGTCTTTTTCACCATTTTAAAATATTTTCTGCTTTTTAGGATCGGGCGCCAACGATGGGCGACCTCAAGAAAGACATTGTAGCATATATGGTTGACAAGAATATTCCCTGCGATGAGAAAAAGCAGACGAAAGCTGAAATGATAGCAGTAATTAAGGAAAGGGGCATTCAAAAACGGTAATGTTTTTAATTCCTTTTTCTTCTCTCTCACCAGCCAAGGTACAAAAGTGCTTATTTTTGTCGATGTTTTTTTCTACAGGTACGAAATCGACGAGCTGGCAAATAGTCATGGGCACACAGTGCTCAGGCTACCCCCATATCACTGTGAGCTTAATCCTATTGAACTGGTCTGGGGTTCGTCGTAATAACCCTTGTTGAAGTTGAAGTTGAAGAAGGGGTTCTTTGAAGGGGTATGTCGCCCTGAACAACTGCCAATTCACCATGGTGTCCGTCGCTAAGCTCATCGACGAAGCATTCGACACCATCACCCCGGAGAAATGGAATGCCTGTGTAGAGCACGTTATGAAGCGAGAGCAGGAGATGATGGAAATCGACCACATCGCGGACGAGTTCTTCGACAACCCCACACAGTTCGTAATAAATCTAGAGGACGACTCAGCTGAGGTGAGACATCAACTGCATGCACGATAAAGTCGTTGCTCGGATTTTTCTTAACCTGTTTTCGTTATTTCAGGATGAAGATGATGTGCCCGACGAATGGGTATCAGACAACGACGAAATATTTGAACAGCCGTTGGAAGAGTATGAAAACTTTGAGGAGGAAGAGGTGGACGACCCCGAAGACACCCTTGCCATGCCTCTGGATGAATGATTCCGCCCCCTCCCCTCTCCCTCCCCGGGCCTTTCACTTAATTCCCTATATGTTTCATTATGACTCAATATTTCTGATTTCTTAGGTATTTAAAAAAATGTTGTTCTATCAATAAATAATTTAAAAAGTGCTCATACTTGTCCTCCTTTTGTGAAGTTTTCCGAATGATGCTTTCTATTGAACGGGTAGTCGTACGAACACGATTCAAATTTCTAGGGAAGTTTTTCAGGCGGATCGTCAGTATACTTTTAGTCCTTTCA